AAGGATAACGCAATGAATGGTCACAACCTGGAAAGTGTTGAAGATCATATGGACCTTGTTCTGCATATCCACAGACCCCTGAAGATAACACAGCAGGTAGATAAGCTGGTTAAGAAGGTATATGTAATATTAATTAGCCAGATACATAGAATACAAGAGCAAGGATGTTATACAGGAGCTGTATAAGTTGCTGATTAGGCCAGAACTGGAGTACTGCATTCAGTTCTGATCAACACATTATAAGAAGGGTGTGATTGCACAGAAGAGGATACAGAGGAGTTTAGGATGCTGCCTACGTTGGACAGCCTGTACTATAGGGAAAGATTGGATAGGTTAGGGTTGTTTTCATTGGAGATGCAAAGGTTGAGAGGGGTCCTGATAGAGGTGTTCAGGATTGTGAGGGAAATATAAAGAGTAAAGAACAATACAGCACAGGAACTGGCACTTTGGCCCTTCAAACCTGCGCTGATACATCTTGCCCTTCCATACTAAAACTTTCTTCACTTACAGGATCCGTACCCCTCTATTCCCTCCCTATTTATGTATTCGTCCGAGTGCATCTTGGATGCTGCTATTGTGTCTGCTTCCACCACCTCCTCTGGCAACACATTCCAGGCACTCAGCACACTTTGTGTGGTAATCTTGCCTGCACATCTCGTCTAAACATCCCCCTCACACTTTGAACTTGTGTCCCCAACTAATTGACCTCCCCACCCTGGGAAAAAGCCTCATACTTTCCACTCTACCCATGCCATTCACAATCTTAGAAATTTCTACCAGGTTGCCCCTCAACCTCCTGTGCCCCAGTGAAAACAAATCCAGTTTATCAACCTTTCTTTATAGCTGAAATCCCCCATACCAGGCAACATTCTGGTAAACCTTTTCTGTACCCTTTCCAAAGCATCCACATCCTTCTGGTAGTGTGGTGACAGAACCGTATGCAATATTCCAGGTGTGGTCTAACAAAAGTTCTATAAAGCTGCAGCATAACTTGTCTATCCTTATACTCAATGCCTCTTCCAATGAAGACAAGCATGCCATAGAACTTTTTCTTACTACCTTATCTACCTGTGCTGCCAACTTCAGTGATCTGTGGATCAGCACACCCAGATCCCTCTGCATATCAATACTGCTAAGCGTTCTGCCATTCACTGTATAATTTCTGCCTGTACTTGACCTTCTAAAATGCATCACTTCACATTTCTGCGGATTAAACTCCATCTGCCATTTTCTGGCCATGCCTCCAACTGAACTGTATTCTGCTGCATCCTCTGACAATCCTCCTCACTATCCGCAACTCCACCAATCTTTGTATCGTCCGCAAACTTACTAATTAGACCAGCTACATTTCCCTCCAAATCATTTATGTAGATCACATACAGCAGAGGTCCCAGCACTGATCCCTGTGGAACACCACTAGTCATAGCCTTCCATTCCAAAAAGTATCCTTCCACTGCTACCCTCTGTCTCCTATGACTAAGCCAGTTCTGTATCCATCTTGCCAGCTCACTCTTGATACCATGTGACTTCACCATTTGTACCACGTTGATCTTGCCTAGTGCATGTCCTGTGCAGTGTAACCTGTATGCCTTACGCTGTCCAAGTTTTTTCTTCCACCCATGATCTGTATGTCCTTGCTTACTGTGATCTGCCTGTGCTGTTTACAAACAAAGCTTTTTACTGTACCTAGGTACATGTGACAATAAATCAAATCAAGTCAAATCTGCCGTGAAGGACCTTGTCAAAGGCTTTACTGAAGTTCATTTAGACAACATCAACCACTTTTCCCTCATCAGTCATCTTCGTCACCTCTTCAAAAAACTCCATCAAGTTAGTGTGGCATGACCTCCCCCAAACAAAACCGTGATATCGCTAATAAGTCCATTTGCTTCTAAGTGCATATTGACCTTGTCCCTGAGAATCTTTTCCAATAATTTCCCTACAACTAATGTGAGGCTCACAGGCCTGTAATTTCCTGGATTATCCATGCTATCCTTCTTAAACAATGGGACAACATTGGCTATTGTCTAGTCTTCTGGGACTTCACCTGTGGCCAAAGTGGATACAAAGATGTCTGTCTAGGCTCCAGCAATTTGTTCTCTTGCCTCCCTCAATGTTCTGGGGTAGATCCCATCAGGACCTGGGGACTTATCTATCTTAATAATTTTTAAGATGAACAACACTACTTCCGTTTTAATAGCAACTTGGCTTAGGAATTCAGGATTCTTAGAATAGGTAGCGTGGATAGGAAGGCATTTTCTTCCATTAGTAGAAGGGTCAATAACCAGGGGGCAGAGATTTAAGGTAAGAGATAGAAGGCTAAGAGGAGAGTTGAGGAGAATTGTTTTTACTCAAGATGGTGATTAGAGTCTGGAACTCTGCCTGAAAAGATGGTTGAGTCAGCAGCTCTTGTAACGTTTAAACATTATTTAGATATTCACTTATGTTGCATTGCCTCCAGGGTTACAGGCCAAGAGGTTGAATAGGTGGAGGGACAGGTGGTGCTCAGGAAGCGAGCAGGCTGGTGAAGGACTTGGACAGGCTAAGCGAGTGGGCAAAAAAAGTGGCAGATGGAATACAATGTGGGACTGTGTGAGATTATGCACTTTGGTAGGAAGAATAGAGGTGTAGACTATTTTCTAAATAAAGAAAGGCTTCAGAAATCTGAAGCACAAAGGGACTTGGGAGTCCTAATTCAGGATTCTGTTAAGGTTAACATACAGGTTCAGTTGGCAGTTAGGAGGGCAGATGCAGTGTTGGCATCATTGCAAGAGAGCTACAGTCCAAGAGCAGAGATGTACTGCCAAGGCTGTATAAAGTTCTGGTCAGATTTCATTTGGAATATTGTGAGATGTTTTGTGTCCCGTATCTGAGTGAGGATGTGCTGGCATTGGAGGGAGTCCAAAGGAGGTTTACAGGAATGATCCCAAAGATGAAGAACTTGTCATATAAGGAGCGGCTAAGGACTCTGGGTCAGTGTTGCTGGAAGGATGAAGGAGGACCAGATAACTTAAATAACTTATGTAATACTGAGAGGCCTGAATAGACTGAATTTAGAAGTGATGTTTCCACAAATAGGAGAGATGAGGACCCGAGGGCACAGCCTCAGAGTGAAGAGACGACCCTTCATGACTGACATGAGAGGAATTTCTCCGGCCAGAGGGTAGTGAACCTGTGAAGGGGAGAGATCGATACATTCTTGGTTAGTGAAGCGTTCAAAGGGTACAGGGAGAAGGCCAAAGAATGGAGCTGAGAAACGTATCAGCCATGATTGAATGGCAGACAAGAATAGGTGGGTCGAATGGCCTAATTCTGCTCTTGTATCTTATAGTCTTATGGAAAATAGAATTGGTGCAGTCAGATCTTCGTTGACTAACACAAAGAAGTGGGCCAAATGGTCTCCTTCTGTGCTGTAAACAGATGAGTCTATGATTTAAAGTATAGTTGATGCTGAAGCTTTGAAATAAGGCCAGAAGGTGATGGGCAGACTCAGCAGGACTGATAGCATCTGTGGAGAGAGAAACAGAGTTAACATTTCTCAGCAATGACTCCTCATCAAATAAATGTTTCTCCAGTACTTTCTGTTTTTATTTCAGTGTGGGGCAGACTGGTTAAGCAACGTTTAGTGATGTGCCAATTCCTGCATGCTGCTAAGAAAATGGTACAGGGCAGGAGCCCCTCTGATTGCTGGGAGTGGAAAGAGTTGAGCAAGCACTCCCGAATGCTGTCATGTGCTGCTTACTGCTGGAGCAGGGTGGCATTACAATCAATCTCGGAGCAGGTCACCCTTGTTGAGCACACGTATTGTACGGTCTGTTGCAGCTGGATAGAATATGGTATTTATATTGACACAGCCTCTGTAATTGGTTTTGGCTAATTAAACCAGGAATGTGATGCTTCTCCTCCCTGTCTGCAGGTGAATTGTCCACAATTTTCTTTGGGCTCATTGGGCTAGGAAGGGTGTAAAATCAGACAAGAAATTCAGTCTTGATCACTGGTGAGTGATCCTAGAGAATGAACATAAATAAACATTGGTGATGTAGTGACTGGAACGAAAGAGTCCTGGCTGACAGGAGTCTCAGGGATTCTCCTTATTCTTGGGATTGGCTTGGAGCTACCTGGTCAGAGTCCATGTACAGTACACGTGTAAATAAAAGGTGACTTGGCGCTGGGACACTGACCTCTGTGGTTATTTTAGGAGAGGATAGAATTGAGTTCAGTTAGGAAAATCTCTAATTTTAAATAATAATCTGTTGAAAATTGCTGTCAAGTCACATATGAAGAATAAGCAATTGACCAAAGTACAATTAGTTCTGTATTCCCTAGTTTGTACTCTAGAAAGGGTCAATGCACCCACATTGTTGGTAGGTACAAACAGAAAGAAGTAATTGCATTAAATTGCATTCAGTTGTCTGATACTCGTCCAGTGCTTGGACTTCAGATCTTTTGTGCCTGAGAAAGGAATTTACTGTGAAGGTTTGATGGCTTCACTTGTCATTTCAGGATTCAGTTCTTCTTCCTAATCATCCTGCATTAAAGACAAGGGGAACAAGCCAAGGTTGTTTAACCTTCTTGAGCGTGTTCTTCCATTCTGTGACAAAATTGTCAATCTGCATTTTAATTCAATTTATCCACTCCCATTTCTTCACCTTTAATGTTACTAAGCGGGAGAATACAAGTTTTGTTTAGGTAGTCTATCAACCTCATTTAAATTAAATTTTGAGGCCCGGGGTAATACTTAACCTGTATTCTGGTTCTCATCATCCAGGATTGGACACTTGATGGATTTGAGAAATCTGAAGCAGGGAATTTGGGAATATTGGTGCAGGGAAACCCAGTAGTCAGAAGACTTATGTTACTGGTCTGATAAACTGAATTGACATTCAAATTCAACTGCTAATGACAGTGTGAGTAAGGTTGTCTCTCTTTGGGATTTGTTATCTCATTTAAGAAATGTTTAAAATATTCACTTGGCTGCTATGATTGATCTCCGTTTCCAGATGCCAGTCATACCCCCGATGTCCAGCAACGCTGAAGCAGGTCCAAGCTGCACCAAGTCCGACCCTGATGCCTCAAGCCCTGTCCCTGCTGAGTGTCAGACATCTATGGAAGCTGACAAAGGAGCCATTTACAGGTAAAGATACAGCAAATTCTCCTGCAGTTTCATGACAGCGGTATAAACAGGAGTTCAAGTATAAAAATATCTACAAGTGCTGGAACACTTCAGCCTCATCTCAGTCCTGCTTCAGCAGATCTTCGTCAGCTGCTGACTAGGTAGTGGATTAAAAAGCGGAACCTCAAAGTTTGTGATCTTTGGATATTACCATGCCCATGATAGTGAGTATAGGAAGAAGCGGATAGAGACCACAAATCTGTCAGTTTTGGAGCAGAATTAGGCCATTTAGCTCATCGCTCCACCATTTGATCATGGCTGATGTGTTTCTCAACCCCATGTTCCTACATTCTCCCGGTAACCCTTGATCCCCTTACTAATCAAGAATCAATGTTTCTCTGTCCAAATTCCTCTACAGCCCAGCTGAGATATCCTGAACCCAGGCACCAGGTAGGCAACACAGCCTTCAGGATGTTCGATCCTGGCCACAGAGAACAGTGTCAATTCCCCTGACTATACTATCACTATTACAACTATGTTTTTCTTGTCCCTCTTGAATGATTCCCTATACCAGACTGTTATGGTCAGTTTGCTCATTCTCTCTACAGACTCCACTCTCATGCACACATGGAGAAAGAATCTTGAACCTGTTACCAAGTACAGGGCTGAGGCTCCTTTCAGCACTACCTCCTGGATACATAGAACATAGAACAGTACAGCACAGTACAGGCCCTTCTGCCCACGATGTTATGCCGAACTATTATCCTACTAAGATCAATCTACCCTGCATACCCTATATCTTGCTATCATCCATGTGCCTATCCAAGACTCGTTTAAAAGTCTGTAAAGTATCTGACTCCACTACCACTGCCGGCAGCACATTCCACACGTCCTCCACTCTCTGTGTGAAGAACCTACCTCTGACATCTCCCCTATACCTTCCTCCAATCACCTTAAAATTATGCCCCTCATAATAGTCATTTCCACCCTGGGAAAATGTCTCTGACTATCCACTCTATCTATGCTTCTCATCATTTTGTAAAACACTATCAAGTCACCTGTCAACCTTCTTCGCTCCAATGAAAAAAGCCCTTGCTCCCTCAACCTTTCCTCATAAGACCTGCCCTCCAGTCCAGGCAGCATCCTGGTAAATCTCCTCGGCACCCTCCTTAAAGCTTCCACATCTTTCCTCAAATGAGGTGACCAGAACTGTACACAGTATTCCAAGTGTGGTCTAACCAGAGTTTTATAGAGCTGTTGCATATCCTCACGGCTCTTAAACTCAATTCCCCTGCCAATAAAGGCCAACACACCATAAGCCTTCTTTACAATCCTTTCGACTTGGGTCGCAACTTTGAGGGATCTATGGACATGGACCCCAAGATCCCTCTGTTCCTCCACACTGCTGAGAATCCTGCCTTTAACCCTGTATTCTGCATTCAAATTCAACCTTCCAAAATGAATCACTTCACACTTTTCTGAGTTGAATTCCATCTGCCACTTCTTTCCCCAACTCTGCATCCTCGTTGCAAAGTCTCGTTGCAACCTACAACAGCCCTCCATGCTGTCCACAACTCTTCCAACCTTCGTGTCATTGGCAAACTTACTAACCCATCCTTCTACTTCCTCATCCAAGTCATTTATAAAGATCACAAAGAGCGGAGGTCCCAGAACAGATCCCTGTAGCACACCACTGGTCACCGAGCTCCAGGCTGAATACTTTACATTGACTACCACCCTCTGTCTTCTATTGGACCGCCAGTTTTGTATCCAGACAGCCAAATTTCCCTGAATCCCATGCCTCCTTACTTTCTGAATGAGCCCACCATGTGGAACCTTATCAAATACCTTGCTAAAATCCATATACAACACATCCACTGCTCTACCTTCATCGATGTGTTTTGTCACATTCTCAAAGAATTCAATAAGGCTTGTGAGACATGACCTGCCTCTCTCAAAGCCATGCTGACTATTTCTAATCAAACTGTGCTTTTCCAAATAATCATAAATACTATCTCTCAGAATCCTCTCCAATAATTTGCCCACTATAGAAGTAAGACTGACTGGTCCGTAATTTGCAGGATTATCCCTATTCCCTTTCTTGAACAAGGGAATGACACTTGCCACCCTCCAATCTTCTGGCATTACTCCACTGGACAGTGAGGACGCAAAAATCATTGCCAAATGGGCAGCAATTTCTTCCCTCGCTTCCCGTAGTAACCTTGGGTGTATCCCGTGTGGCCCAGGGGACTTATCTATCCTCGTGTTTTTCAAAATTTATAGCGCCCCCTCCTTCCTAACAACAACCGGTTCGAGCATATCTGCCTGTTTCATGCCGTCCCCACAAACGTCAAGGTCCGTCTCACTGGTGAATACTGAAGCAAAGTATTCATTAAGGACCTCCTCTGACTCCGCACACAAGTTCCCTCCACTACCCCTGATTGGCCCTACCCTCAATCTGGCCATCCTCTTGTTCCTCACATAAGCATGGAAGTCTTGGGGTATTCCTTGATCCTCCCCGCCAAGGTTTTCTCATACCCCCTTCTAACTCTCCTAAGTCCATTCTTCAGTTCCTTCCTGGCTACCTTGTAGACCTCTAGAGCGTTGTCCAATCCTTGCTTCCTCAACTTTAAGTAAGCTTCTGTCTTCCTCTTGACTAGGTGTTCAACATGTCTTGTCATCCACGGTTCCTTCACCTTACCATCCTTTCCTCAGTGGGACAAACCTGTCCAGTACCAATAGCAACTGCTCCCTAAACAACCTCCATATTTCTGTAATGCATTTCCCTGAGAACATCTGATCCCAAGTGGTGCTCCGTAGTTCTTGCCTAATAGCATTGTAATTCCCCCTCCCTCAATACTTGCCCATACCGTCTGCTCCTATCCATCTCCATGACTGTAGTAAAGGTCAGGGAGTTGTGATCACTATCACTGAAATGCTCTCCAACCGAGAGATCTGACACCTGACCTGGTTCGTTGCCAAGCACCAAATCCAATATGGGCTCCCCTCTAGTCGGCCTATCTACATATTGAGTCAGAAGTCCTTCCTGGACACACCTGACAAAATCTGCTGCATCCAAATTATTTGCACTTCTGAGGTTCCATTCAAAAGTTTGCTAACAGCAGGGAAGAAGAGTGAGGGAGATAAGGGTGACTAACTTAGAGCATGGATCAGCACTTGGAACTAGATGTTGTGGACATTACAGAGACTTGGATAACACAGAAGCAGGAATGGTTGTTGGATGTTCTGGGGTATATATGTTTCAAAAGAAATAGGGAGGGAGGTAAAAGAGGTGGGGGATTGGCATTGCTAATCAGGGATATTAGGGAAGTTGAAGTCTCCCATGACAACAACCCTATTACTTTTACACCTTTCCAAAATCTGCCTCCCAATCTGTTCCTCAGTGTCTCTGTTGCTATTGGGGGGTCTATAGAAAACTCCCAATAAAGTGACTGCCCTTTTGCTGTTTCTGACTTCCACCCATACTGACTCAGTGGAGAAACCCTCCTCCACGACCTCCCTTTCTACAGCTGTGATACTATCCCTGATTAGCAATGCCAATCCCCCACCTCTTTTACCTCCCTCCCTATTTCTTTTGAAACATATATACCCCAGAACATCCAACAACCATTCCTGCTTCTGTGTTATCCAAGTCTCTGTAATGTCCACAACATCTAGTTCCAAGTGCTGATCCATGCTCTAAGTTAGTCACCCTTATCTCCCTCACTCTTCTTCCCTGCTGTTAGCAAACTTTTGAACGGACCTGTCAAATGTTAATATTGATCTCTCTCTTTGCACTTTCTCCGCAACTGAAACACAATTCTGCACTCTGTTCTGCTACCCTGATGCATTTTGTACGCTATGATCTGTCTGTATAGCAAAACAATACTTTTCACTATATCTCAGTACATGTGGCAACAATAAATCAAATAAAATCACCCTCCTGTCCTCAACCACTGACTGAATTTGAGGTAGTTAATCTGAGAGGTGTGATTGCCTCCTGAAGCATAGCATCCAAGTAACTTTTCCCCCTCACTGATACATCTCAGTGTTTGAAGCTCAGTCTACAGCTCGTCAGCTCTGAGCTGGAGTTCCTCAAGCAACCAGCATATGCTACAGGTATCAGAGATAGTAGGAACTGCAGATGCTGGAAAATCTGAGATAACAAGGTGTAGAGCTGGATGAACACAGCAGGCCAAGCATGAAGGGTCTCGGCCCGAAACGTCAGCCTTCCTGCTCCTCTGATGCTGCTTGGCCTGCTGTGTTCATCCAGCTCTACACCTTGTTATCTATGCTACAGATATGGTCACTTTGAACCTTAATGGGGTTCACCAGCTCCCACATCCCACCAGGTGCAACGCATTGTGCTGTCCGGCATCTCTGTCTTAATGATTTGATCTCAATTTGGTTTTTTAAAAAATCCGTACTGTTCTTTTATTTTGTGAGCTGCAAGTATTTCCCCAATTAACCTTCACTCTAAAAATGATGTATAGCAAATAGTCAAATTAGTTGCTATCACTAACCAATTAACTTACAGTTTACCTGTGATATCACAGGGGCCTTGTGTGCAGGGCCCCTGATCCTGGGCTTCAATTTATTCTGTTAAAAAAAACTTTACAAACTCGGAGCCAAAATAAGTCAAGCAAAAAGCACCTCTTCCCTCTACACCAAATTGCCATGTTGCCATCAAATTGCCTGAACGAGATACTCACTTGGGCTGTGTCTCACCCTGGATGTGATCTCTCTTTCCTGACTATGGCTGATGTGTTGGAACAGGAGGAAGGACTTTAGATTCCTGGATCACTGGATCCATTTTGAGGAAGGTGGACCCTGTACAAGGCCACCTGGACTAGAACAGAACCAACAGAATTAGATAACGATACAAAATGGAAGCTTATGGTAGATACTGAAATTCAGAACAGTGGATGCCTTTGAGAAGTATAGAATATCTGGGTGTTACTTAAAAAATAAATGAATAGAGCAAAGAGGTGTTATGGAAAAGCATGGGTGGGTAACATTAAAGAAATCCGAAGATGCTTTATAAGTATGTTAGGGGCAAGACGATAATCAGGGAAAGAGTAGGACCCATTAGGGACCATGTGGGAAGCTGAACATGTAGCTGAGGTTTTAAACCAGTTCTGAAGAAGGGTCACCGGACCCGAAACGTTAACTCTGATTTTTTCTTCACAAAATGCTGCCAGACCTGCTGAGCTTTTCCAGAACTTCTGTTTTTGTTTTAAATCAGTACTTTGCATCTATATTCACAAAAGAGAAGGACGGTGTAGGTCTAGCAGGGAGGGAACTGTGATATACTTGAACAAATTAGCATTGAGAGAGATGAGGTATTAGCAGTTTTAGCAGACATAAAAGTGAATAAATTCCTTGGCCCAGGTGGCAACATCTGTGGACAGAGAAATAAAGTTAAAGTTTCGAGTCTGGTATGACTTAAGAATGTTTGTTTCAGATTTTCAGCATCCATAGTGTCTTGCATTTATTTGAAAAAGTAGGGATCATTAGGGACCTAAGTGACAAAGTGTGGATGGACCTGGAACACGGATAATGTTTAAATGAGTATTTTGCATCTGTATTCGTGATAGAGAAGGTCGATGTAGATATAGATATCAAGAATGTGAATATACTTGTGTAATACACTTTAACAAATTACAATTGAGAGGCAGAATGTATTAACAGTCTTAGCGAGCTTAAAGTTGTCTAAACCTCCCACGTCCAAATGAGACACATCAAGGTCTGCTGCGGGAAGCGAGGGAGGTGATTTTAGGAGCTCTGACATTAATTTTCAAATCCTCTCTGGCCATAGGGATAGTGCCAGAGGACCGGAGGACAGCTAATATGGTACCATTATTCAAGTAGACAAGGTAGGAATAAACCAGGAAACTACAGGCCAGTGAGTCTAACACCTGTGGTAAGGAAATTTCTGAGGAACAGAATTAATGGAGAGGCAAGAATAATCAAGGGTTGTCAGCATGGCTTTGTGAGAGGAAGACTGAATTTTTCAAGGAGGTGATTAACTGTACATGGGTGAGGGTTGTGCCGTTGATGTAATCTACGTGGACTTCAGAAAGGCTTTTGATGAGGTCTAGTATGGCAGGTTGGTTATAAAGCTAAGACTATATGGGATCCAGGGCAATTTGGCAAATTGGATGAAAAATTAGCTTTGTGGCAAGATGCTGAGGGTGATTGCTGAAGGTTGTTTTTGTGACTTGAAGCCTGTGTCCAGTGACATACCACAGGGTTCAGTGCATGGTTCCTTGCTGTTTGTTGTGTATGTTAATGATCTAGACATAAATACAGGAAGTATGATCAGTAAGTTTGCAGATGTCATGAAAATTGGTGGTGTGGTTGATATTGAGAAGGAAAGCCTTAACCTACAGACAGGGGAACTTAATCCTGAAAAGTGTGAGTGATGCATTTTGGGCAGACTAACAAGGCAAGGGCATACACATTGAGTAATAGAACCCTGGGAAGTACAGAGGATTCTTGGTGTGCATGTCTGTAGATCCTTGAAGGCAGCACGACAGGTGAATAAAATGGTATGATGCTTGCCCGTATTAGCTGAGACATTGAATACAAGATTAAGGAGGTTATGTTGGAACTGTATATAATGTTAGTTAGGCCACAGCATTGTGGGCAATTCTGGCTAAACCAGCATTTATTGCCATCCCTAATTGCTCAGGGGGCAGTTGAGAGACAACCACATTGGAGTCACATGTAGACCAGACCAAGTAAGGATGGCAGTTTCCTTCCCTAAAGAACATCAGTGAACCAATGGGTTTTTCCTGACAATTTGACAATGGATTCATAGACATCATTAGACTCTTAATTCCAGATTTATCAATTGAATTAAAATTTCACCACTTACCATGGCAGGATTTGAACCAGGTCCCCAGAACATTACCTGGTCTCTGGATTAACAGTCTAATGATAATACCACTAGGCCATCACTTCATACTAGGGAAGGTTGGAAAAATGTTTCCACTTTGGAGAGGGCTTCAAAAGGAAGGAACACAGTTTTAATGTAATAAGTGAGATGTATAGACGGAATTCAAGGAACAAAATGTTCACCCAGAGGGATGTAGGTATCTGGAACTCACTGTCTGAAAGAGTGGTAGAGGTGGGTACCCTTAAGATAATAAAGAATTATTTAGATGAGCACTTGAAATGTCGAATCATACAATGCTACGGGCCAAGTGCTGGAAAGTGGGATTCGAATAGATCGATGTGATTTTATGCTTGATGACCAGCATGGACACGATGGGCTGAAGGTGCCGTGGAACTCGATTACTCCATGTCTGTGGGATTCTTAAAAACATGTGACAGAGGTGATGATGGGAAGGTTCACACATTTAGTGCAAATCTAAGAAGGAAATTTGAAAAATAAATCAGGAACAAGTAACTTTGCATACTGCACTAACTGTGAAGGAGCTACACTGGAGATATTCACTGGGTTGATAGCTGGGTTACCAACTGAGGGTCGATGTGCTTAGTTGGCTGAATGGCTGGTTTGTGATACAGAGTGACGCTTACAGCATGGGTTCAATTCCTGCACTACTGAGGTCACAATAAGGGTCCTGCCTTCTCAACCTCACTCCTCACCTGAGGTGTGATGTCAATCAGGTTAAACCCACCACCACTCATTTCCCTTTCTAATAAAAGACCAGTCCTATGGTCCTCTGGGACTATGACGACAATAACTACTAGCTGGATTACATTCACCACATTCAGTGCAACCATGTTTACAGCAGCATTTATTACCCCTGCCAATATGTATTTTGAGTTCCACTAATGTAATTGCTTATATTCAGATCTGGACACAGCTTAAGTGAGGTTTGCAATTAGTCGGCACTAGGAGGGATATGGAGGGGTAACATTGCCCTCCTAGAGCTGCTTCACCCACCATCCCCACCATCGACCCACGCTTTCCGAGGGTGCATCTCTTGATACGACTAGCGATCCCTGGACATGTGTGAAACTTGGGTTCCTGACAGTTTGTTTTGTGGGTCTTGTGGGTTTTGTGGGTAGTTTCAGCAGCACATAGCTGGGAATGGTAGCTGCTGCTGGGATGAGAAAGATGCCAGTCAATCAGATTGACTGCCTGGTCTTTGAGGTAAAATATCCTACCTCAAGCTAATTACTGGTCCCCACAGCATTCACTGACTGAGCAGCTGTCAGCAGGAGCTGGGCATATTCTCTGTCAACTTTTTCACTGGCAGGGTGAGAAACTGTCATTTGAAAAAATCTGCCCCTGGAGTGATCCATATCATCATGACACTCTGCTATATCAAAGCCACTGCAACAAAATACATCCACTGTCAAAGGCTCAACACCTTGTTCTTGAAGACAGTTTGGAATGGCACTAAATGTAACCTCTTTATCTAGAATGAATAACAATGTTTCCGTGTTAAGGGTGCATTCATAATCTGAAATATAATTATGACAGACACTGAGTGTTCTGAATTAAGCATAAGTACTTTACCTAACCAACTAGATAATAACAATGGGGACTGGCACTGAGTCTGGGTTCTAACATAGACTGTGCCCTTTAGTGTCAGGGAGCCAACTCTGCAATGAATATTGTCCTGAGTTGTGACCAGATTTCAAGTGTCACACGAATTTCCATTTCCCAGTGCTTTCCCCCTCTCCCTGAAGAATAGAGGGTACTGTGGAAAATGATGAAAGTACAGACCAAGATTATGGTATAAATGACTCTCCATAACATTCGTTCTGGGTTTCAATATTGAGTGAGACAGTAAGAAACCTTAGCAACTGATGCTCATGTTATCCTCTATTTGTTTGCAGACATCCTCTGTTTCCACTCTTGGCTCTCCTGTTTGAGAAATGTGAGCAGTCGACGCAAGGCTCTGAGTGCATCACTTCGGCAAGCTTTGATGTAGACATTGAAAACTTTGTTCGCAAACAGGAAAAGGAAGGGAAGCCATTTTTCAGTGAAGATCCAGAAATCGATAACTTGGTGGGTTCTGGTGTTTTGGAAGCTGCCTGTGTGTTGCGTCTGCCTCCGCATGAGTCAGTACCTCCAGTATTATGGTTAATGCTTTCTTAAGGAAACCTTCCCAAAGCTTTCTTTACAAGCAGCTGGCTAGTGCTGTGCCTGAGAGGAAAAGCTAGCTAATGTGGTGGTATTCACTTTCTACTGGATTCTCAAAATAAGCTACTCAGATAATCAAGGCCCAAGGCTGAAATGAGACCAGGAGTTGAGTGGCCCTAACAGAACCCAAACCAAGGGAGCAGGAGATTCCTGTTTAAGTGCCGCTTGACAGAAATGTCAATGTTTTCTTCTGTCACTTTCATGATGATTATAGATAGATAGATAGATAGATAGGATGGTAATTTGCCAGGTTATGTTTGTCCTGTTCTTTGTTGAAAGGGCAGACTGACATTGTCAGTTAAATCACAAATCACAGAATTGTTATGGTGCCTAAGGAGGCCGTTCAGACTATCATGTTTGCCCTTGCTGATTCAGCTCTTTAAGTGTTCATAAATGTTCTTGAGGGTTTCTGCCTACACCACCCTATCAGGCAATGATTCCAGATACCCATAATCCTTTGGATGAATTTTTTTCCTCAAATTTCCATAAATGTCACTATGCCTTCTCGTTATTGTCCCCTCTACTAGGGGATAGGTTTCTCACTATCTATCCTGTCTATGCTCTTCAGAACTTTGTACACCTTAATACATGCTCTTGCAGCCTTCTCTGCTCTGAGGAACACAAGTCCAGCTTATCTAGCCCCTCTTCGTATCTGAATTGCTGCAGCCCAGGCAACATCCGGGTGAATCTTTTCTCTGTCTTCTCACAACGCAATTGCATCCTTCCTAAAGCGTGCTGACCAGATCTATAGCCTAACTAATATCATGCACAGCTCCGTCATAACTTCTTCGCTGTTGTATGCCCTGGCTGATACAAGTAAGAATCAGCTAAATATCCAACATGCTTTATTCCGGAACCAGGGGCCATTTCAGACTGAGAAAGGAGAGGTTTTTTTCACCCAAAGAGCCTGTGGTATTGTCTGCCACAGAAAGCAGTTGATGCCAAAAGATTGAATGTTTTCAAGAAGGATTTGGATATAGTTGTTTGAGCTAATGGGAGAACACGGGAACAGGCATTTGAGTTAGTTGATCAGCTTTGATCACATTGAATGGCAGAGCAGGCTCAAAGGGCCAACTGGCAAACTCGACCTTTTTTCTATTTATTTCTATGTTGTACTATGCTCAGTTCGTTCACATACATGCAATGTAATCCTGATTTATGTACTTATCCCTTACTATGACTTCATTTACAACTTCCTTATCTGGTAATATTTTCCTATATCTTCTGGTTCCCTCAATCCTGCTGCAATAGCAGAAGCAAAGCACCCTGTGAGGAACTCGTCCCACTCTGTTCAGGTGCAATCCATCTGGCTTGTGCCAACTCTTCCCAGAGTCAATCCTAGTGTCCCAGGAATCTAACGCCTTCCCTCCAGCATCATCTTTCCGACTGCACATTCATCTGTCCTAAAGTATCCAATATCTATTCCTGTACTCGCTAGCACGTGGTGCTGGGAGTAAACCAGAAATTACTATAAGACCATAAGACATAGGAGCAGAAATTAGGCCATTCAGCCATCGAGTCTGTTCCGCCATTCAATCATGGCTGATAAGTTCCTCAACCCCATTCTCCCCGTAACCCTTGATCCCCTTGATAATCAAGAACCTATCGATCTCAGTCTTAAATGTACTCAATGACCTAGCCTCCATACCCTTCTATGGCAGTGAATTCCATAGATTCACCACTCTCTGGCTGAAGAAGTTGCTCCTTATCTCCGTTCTAAAAGGTCTTCCCTTTACTTTAAGGCTGTGCCCATGGGCCCTAGTCTCTCCTACAAATGAAAATATCTTTCCAACATCCACTCTGCCCAGGCCATTCAGTATTCTGTAAGTTTAAATTAGATTCCCCCCTCATCCTTCCAAACTCCAATGAGTATAGTCCCAGAGTCCTCAAACGTTCCTCATATGTTAAGCTTTTCATTCCTGGGACCATTCTTGTGAACCTCCTCTGAACCCGCTCCAGGGCCAGTACATCCTTCCTGAGATATGGGGCCCAAACGTGCACACAATACTGCAAATGTAGCCTGACCAGAGCCTGATAAAGCCTCAGTAATACATCCCTGCTTTTAAATTCAAGCTCTCTCAAAATAAATGCCAACATTGCATTTGCCTTCCTGACTACTGACTCAACCTGCAAGTTTACCTTGAGAGAATCCTGGAATAGAACTCCCAGGTCTCTTTTCACTTCAGACTTCTGCATTTTCTCCCCATTTAGAAAATAGTCCATGCTTTTATTCTTCTTACCAAAGTGCATGACCTCACACTTTCCCACATTGTACTCCATCTGTTACTTCTTTGCCCACTCTCCTAACCTGTCCAAATCCTTCTGCAGCCTCCCCACCTCCTCAATACTACCTGTCCCTCCACCTGTCTTTGTACTATTTGACCTTACTAATTTTCTGCCTAGGTCACTAAATTCTGATTGCAGGAGCACATCCTCCTTCCTACGTATGTTGTTGATACCAACGTGGATCATGTCCTCAAGCTGTTTGACCTTCCCCAGAAGAAGGTTAACTAAGGTTGCCAAGAGATCCTGATCAATTGGGTCAATGGCTGAGGAGTGGCAGATGGAGTTTAATTTGGATTAGTGCGAGGTATTGTAATTTGGTAAAACAGACAAGGGCAGGACTTATATAATTAAAAATAGGGCCTTGGGTAGTGTTATAGAACAGAGAGACCTAAGGATTCTGGCACATAATTCTTTAAAGTTTGCATCACACATAGGTAGAGTGGTTAAGAAGGCATTTGGCCACTTCCTTTCATTGCTCAGACCTTCGAATAAAGAAGTTGAGGTTATGCAGGATGTTGGTGAGGCATCTTTTGGCATTCTGTGTGCAGTTCCGGTCGTCCTTTATAGGAATGATATGATATTATTAAGCAGGAGAGGGTTCAGAATAGATTTACCAGGATGTTGCTGGGAATGGAGGGTATGAGTTATGGGGAGAGGCTGGCTTGGCTGGGATTTTCTTCACTGGAGCATAGGAGGTTGAGGAAGGACCTTACAGAGGTTTATAAAATCATGAGGGGTATAGGGTGAATGGCAGAGATGGTAGGAACTGCCGATGCTGGAGAATCTGAGATAACACGGTGTAGAGCTGGATGAACACAGCAGGCCAAGCAGCATCAGAAGAGCAGGAAAACTGACGTTTCGGGTCGAGACCCTTCTTCAGAAATGGGGGAGGGGAAGGGGCTTCTGAAATAAATAGGGACAGAGGGGGAGGCAGATAGAAGATGGATAAAGGAGAAGATAGGTGGAGAGGAGACAGACAGGTCAAAGAGGCGGGGTTGGAGCCAGTAAAGGTGAATGTAGGTGGGGAGTTAGGGAGGGGATAGGTCGGTCCAGGAAGGACGGACAGGTCACGGAGGTTAGTGGGTAGGAGATGGGGGTGGGGCTTGAGGTGGGAGGAATGGTTAGGGAGGCGGGGACAAGCTGGGCTGGTTTTGGGATCTGTTTGGAGGAGGGGAGATTTTGAAGCTTGTGAAGTCCACATTGATACCCTTGGGCTGCAGGTTCCCAAGCGAAATATGAGATGCTGTTCCTGCAGCTTTCGGGTGGCATCATTGTGGCAATGCAGGAGGCCCAGGATGGACATGTCATCCAAGGAGTGGGAGTGGGAGGGGAAGTTGAAATGGTTCGCGACTGGGAGGTGTAGTTGTTTGTTGCGAACTGAGCGTAGGTGTTCCGCAAAGCGGTCTCCAAGCCTCCTTCAAAATCTCCCCTCCCCCGAACGCATCCCAAAACCAGCCCTGCTCGTCCCCGCCTCCCTAACCATTCCTCCCACCTCAAGCCCCACCCCCATCTCCTACTCACTAACCTCATCCCGCCTCCTTGACCTGTCCGTCCTCCCTGGACCGACCTATCCCCTCCCTAACTCCCCACCTACATTCACCTTTACTGGCTCCATCCCCGCCTCTTTGACCTGTCTGTCTCCTCTCCACCTATCTTCTCCTCTATCCATCTTCTATCCGCCTCCCCCTCTCTCCCTATTTATTTCAGAATCCTCTTCCCCTCCCCCATTTCCGAAGAAGGGTCTCGACCCGAAACATCAGTTTTCCTGCTCCTCTGATGCTGCTTGGCCTGCTGTGTTCATCCAGCTCTACACCGTGTTATCGAGGGTGAATGGCAGGTGTCTTTTCCCTAGGGTGAGGGATTTCAAAACGAGGGAGCATATTTTGAAGGTGAGGGGAGAAAGATTTAAACAAGACATGAGGGGCATTATTTTTAAACGGAGAGTAGTTCATGTGTGTAATGAACTTCCAGATGAACAGCAACTCATATTCCGCCTTGGAACGCTACAATCCAATGGTCTCAATGTAGACTTTACTAGCTTCAAAATCTCCCCACCCCCGACCTCCTCCCAAGACCAGCTCCCCGCCTCATCCCCACCTCCTTGACCTGTCTGTTTTCTCTCCCACCTATCCGCTCCTCCCACCTCACTGACCAACCCCCACCCCCACTTCCTACCTACACTCACCTTTACTAGCTTCACCCCGCCTCCTTGACCTGCATGTCTTCTCTCCCACCTATCTGCTCCGCTATACACCTTTTATCACTGCTCCCCTCCTCTCTATTTATTTCAGAGCTCCCTTCCCCTCCTCCATTTCTGAAGAAGGGTCCAGACCCGAAACATCAGCTTTCCTGCTCCTCTGATGCTGCTTGACCTGCTGTGTTCCTCCAACTCCACACCTTGTTATCTCAGACTCCAGCATCGGCAGTTCCTACTATCTCTTCCAGATGAAGTAGTGGATGCCAGTATAGGTACAACATTAAAAAGACATTTAGATAAGTACATGAATTAGAAACGTTTGGAGGGACTGCTCCATTTTTGCAGCAGCAGTGGGAACAGTGAGAGCGAGGACCAGGGGTCT